CCCTTTAGTCAATCCTTCAATCATTATTCAAACAATGTGATACAGGAAAAAGATTGTGACTTAGACATTTCGGAGAAAACCGGTACAATTACACATAAATTTCTATATTTATGGCGAACATATTCTAACACGATCATGATGTCATAAGGTTCTTGGCTTTTGCCAAGAGATGTTGGAGCAAGCAACAATCTATTTTTCCCTAAGGAAAACTCATATAATTCAGCTATTGGCATATATTGCTAAAAAAAACCTCACTCGGAGCAGAAAAATTCTGAGAAACATGTGATCTTGAAAAACCCTTACCATGTGCCACAGGCAACTTCAATGGACTATCCATTATCATATATGCTAACATCCGAAATATTGCATATCACCAGTACAAACTTAGATCCATATTTAGTAGTCTTCTCACCATCAATAATTCCATCTCTTATCTTCATGAACAACCTTTCTTGTTGCTTTCTAGTCCAAGTTTAAGAATATCAGTTTATATGAAGAAGATTAGGAGAAACAAGTACACGATAACTTTGGCATAGCTTTAGTGTTCTGTTATATGAAAATTGTTACCATTCTCAAAAAAATGAAATAAACTTCTGTCAATTGAAGCTCATCTATTGCTACTCTTCCTTCTTTCACTAATTCCCATCACATTCATCAGTTATCCATCCATGAGCTGCATAGTGGTACAGAAGGTACCTGTTTCTGCTTTTCTGATGATCCACGCATCAACTTGTCAATATTGAAATGATAATTTGGATGTTTTTCTATATAATAAGTAATTTTACAGATTCAAATATGCAATCGGGATTTTATGTACTGGTTATTTATCTACTTTGCCTTAGTCGAGTCAAAATGTTATACAAAAGAAACACTAGAGCTTTTGAACTCTGTTATGCCACTCTAGGCGAACGGTAATATATTTGAATTGTTACTAAAATGCATCATCGTAGAAATGACACTTCAAGTAATTGCACAGTACATACTATACAAATACAAGGCCAAGTATATATTTCACATATTCCTTACTTGTATAGAGCTGCCAGCCTGACAAGTTCACTGTAATGTAAAGGATAATGTTTTGTCTGCTTCCACTCGTACCAGACAGAAGCAAATACATGTGTTGGTGTATCTTGTAGGAGCTCATCAAGATTGGGCATCACAACAGCCACTTTGAAGCTGCGGAAAATAAGCCATCGTCAAATCCATTCCCAATAAACTTGCAAATAGAAGAATACAACACGATAAACATGCACACGTGCATATATGCACAAAGAAGAACATAAAACAATCTTCTTTTTCTTTTTCCTTTGTTGCTTTAAGAAGAACTTAAGACTTCTCAGAAACACCATAATTGGTACAGTCTTCCTGACGCAAACATGGAAACTTCAAATAATTCAAACAAACAACGAGATAACAAACATTAAGAACTGAAGGCAGAAAGAAATTCAGGAATTTACCCATCCTTCACAAA